CTGCGAAGCCCGCCTCCAAAAACATTCGCTCTCCAGCAAGATTCGAACCTACGTACTCCTATGAGAATCTTTAATTAGATTTGACGTGCATTTAAATATCTTTGCCACGGAGTGCGTCAATGTGCGAGCCAAGTTGAATAGTTTATTTAAATTCATATTTCTCTTTGACTCTTGAAATAGATATGCCTACTCATTTTTCTTATCCTAACGTAAACAAAGCTATTTCTAAAAAAAGTGTTGGATTATCTATTTATTAAGCCGACCGCCTATATTAATTATACATCTACTCATATAAGTGTATCCACCTAAAATAACGTTTATTTGCCTGTCTGTCTATACATTTTTCACGTACGAATAAATCATATTTGTATACAAGCGTACATGTGATTATTCATGTGAGAGCGTTTGAAGACACTGTTAAACAATACATTTCAAATCAATACCAAATCAACAAATGTGTTTATTCTCACGTTCTAATTTCTCGCAGATCATTAGCGGTTACGTAATTTGGAACCGATCGTCTAAAATTAATTTCTCTTTCCTAAGCTCTGCCAATATTTTTAAACATTTTCTTCTAATAAAACAAGGAACAGTGAAAACATCAGCTTCTACAGGCGAACTAATAAACACCAGCATCGTGGTTTATATCTGCAATTTGAACTAATGAAGATCAATAGTAATCTTGACAGCAGAGCAGGTATCCAATCACATTTTTAAAAAAGACCTGCTACTAAAATGATGTCTCACATTCTACGAATCGCGTCATTTCAATTAAATTGAACAATTCTAGATGGCCTTCTACTGTAGAAGTGTCTGAATTATGGATTAAACATCTCGACATCATTAAGATTTTTTTTTTCAAATTAAGTTAACCCAATAGAATGCCTAAGTTCCACTCAGGGTAGAGGGTTACTATATAAAATGGGTGCTACGAAAATAAAAGAAGCCAGTATAATTAACCCTAAATTGTAAGATTAAAGTTGTATAGTTCAGGGAATCAACTCCGCGTGAATCTGTACTATACGTTAGCCGGTTGTGGGAAGTGTTATCTGTTCTGGCGAAACATTATTTAACATTAATACCTAAGGAATGATGGCGATTCAAACCTGTGGACGTAACAAGGCTGGAAATGAATGCAATATTTTGAGATGTTGAATTTGAAGAATAGACCTTGTCGTAACATTTGCCATACAAGTGACAATAAGTTTGCGACGTTGCTTCTGTGAAGATGGAGGTGAGAAAATATGTTATCTCTCTTGACGCTCCTTAATCGACTTTTTACTTTGTCAAGGCTCGAAATTAAAGCATGGCCAACCCCATATGTGATATCGAATCACTGCAGAAGATTTCAGGCATTTTTTCCTGCATTTGTAAAAAGAACCGACAATTTTTACCGGCATCTTTGGTGGTCGATTATATATATGAGCTCATCTTGAGATCTATATTTAACATGATTCCCAACAGACGTTATAAACAAGGATCCTCAGTGAGAATGGAACCGTTTAGTATGATTGGGGAAATTTTATGATCTGTTCGTTGATGTTGAGATGTTATTTACTTGTATAATAACGATTCGTTTCTGATGACTTTAACTCTTACTAAAAATAACTTGACATTCATGTCCTCAGATTAAGTAGGCAGCTGTCCCACAATGCTTCACAAGATAATTTAAGTCTACTGACTAGGGGATGCGTTCGAACCCTGTTTTCTGTTAAAGTTTTCTGTTTCCTGTTATGAACTAGGTTAGGTTTAATAAGCATTTGGTATTTAGAATTAAGTACATTGCATTTGGTTTGATTTTGTTTTGATGCATTACTGTTGGAGAGCAAGGATTCTATGCACACAAGAATCAATTGCCAATAGACGGAACACATGGTTGTTCAAAAACGGAAGAGCCCAACATGCAAATTGCTAAATGGACTTACCGAAATTATAAAAATCCAAAATAAAAATAAGTATCTGTGAAGTGTCTTAACAGAGGACGGAATGTACCACAATGAAAACCTAAGGTGCATTTGGACAGCGAAGCAAGTCAATCCAAAAGCTAAGTATTAAGAAATAGAAAGATTCCATAGAAACAAAGACAATAGTAGAGAATAAGGCAGTGAATGCCGAAAAATCTCATCAAAGATGAAGAAGACATTTGAAACAACAAAAATGTGATTTGTGTAGAAGGATGCTGAGAATACCATGCAACTAACTAGTATGAAAGGATGAAGTTTTAGAGAAATGCAAACAAAAAGGATATTAAAGGAGGCACGGTGGAGTAATGGATAGCGGCTCACATTGAGGAATCGGAGAGCCAAGTTCGAATTTCAGTCGAATCCATTACATTCACTTAAAGGGAACGGTATGAATCCTCTTTTCCTCCCCCCAGCTATGGGTAAATAGCAGGACGGACTGGGTTCTATAGCCAACTGATCTAGAGTAGAAATAAATGGGAACGTATTACGGGAAAAAAATCTGCTTCGTTAGTCATGTGTCGAAAGATACATGATCTCCTGAGCGTGTATCACGCATGGCACATAACTGACTGATACTATATATCAGGAAGAAAGAGTTGAAATGTATTCGTGTGTGCGTCTGTCCTTGCGATAAAAAAAATTGTGTTCCTTTTAAAAGTATTGATTGCGATACCTTATTAATTTCAGATTTTCTTTATAATGAATACCGGAATTTCTTTGCTTGTATTTGCTAATAGAGAGAAAGAGAGAGAGAGGGGGGAGAAAGAGAGAAAGAAAGAGAGAGAGAAAGAGAGAGATAGAGTCAATGATGGCTCATGTTACATGAGAAAAATATTACTTATAACCGAATCGTACCATCCGAGGACACAAACTCCTGAAAACTCCCCATGCCTCCCCATCTATGGATTAAATAGTAGGTCATGTATCTGGAGAAATAATTCTTATATTCAAAAATATTTAATGTAAAAAAAACGAAAAAACTATTCTTAGAATCCAAAATAGACTATACGCTTTAAAGAACAATGAAGTATTTTATATGCCGTATGAGGCACAGTGGACTAATGGATAGCGGTTCGGATTAGTGAATCGGAGTGTCAAATTCGAATAAAAAGTCCTAATGAATCCTCTTTTTCTCCCCTTGCCCAATCTATGGGTAAATAGCAGGACAGACCGTGTTCTATAGCCTTGGATTGCAACAGGTCTAACGCAGAAAGAAATGGCAAACTACTGCGGGGAAAAAAAACCTGCCTCGTCATTCATGTATCGAAAGATACATGATCGCCTAGACATGTATCACGCATTGCACATAACTGATATAAAAATATAAAAAAAGTGAATCAGGAATTAATTAACGAAATTAAAATAGACTCTGCTTCTAACAACTTAACTAAACGACATAAATCAGGATACCGACAAACTGAAATTTGAACGATTTTTGAGAAGCCAAGACAAAGAAGATCGCTTTCGTAGCCACACGAAAACATAAAATAAACAAAGAACTAGTAGATGATAAATGAGATGTTAAATTCCAGTTTTTAGTGCATTTTGAATGCTGATTTTATAGGCACGCTATCCATCGCCATTGGAAAGTAGAATTATTTTTACCCCATTTGTACCTATAAGCTAAGCTGAACAGACGGCTAAAAGATAATAAATAAATAAAAAATAAAAGATAGTAAACCTATATTCATGTAAAAGCAAACACGTTCAACTGCCTGTACCTTCATCCAGAGAGACATGCACTTAAGAAGAGAAATCTTACTTTTTTCTTAACTCTGTAAAATGCGTTCAAGCGTAGATTAACACTAGAGAAGAAGAGAGTGCTGCTTAGCATAGGTAGATGTGGAGTTGCGTAGGCGCGACTTTGCCCACGCTGACATGAAATAAAAAGAAAATTGTCCAGAAAAATGAAATTGAATTTATTCATTCCAGACTTCGTATTCACCAATATAGTGGTAGAGAGGTACTTAGTTGTTTCGACGTGTAAAATGCACTTCCTAATAATAAAACTCAGGTCGGTAGATATCTGGATGACTACGAGTCGAGGCACACATGTATTTAACTGAATGCCTGTCTATCGACCGAAATTATTTACTATCTTTTTTCCTTACTTTCTATCTTTGTTTCTGTCTGTATATCTATCTATCTATCTATCTATCTATCTATCTATCTATCTATCTATCTATCTATCTCTCTCTCTCTCTCTCTCTCTCTATATATATATATATATATATATATATATATATATATATATATATATTTATATCTATCTATCTATCTATCTATCTATCTATCTATCTATCTATCTATCAATTTCAGTCTGTCCAGATCTATCTAGCTCGGTATCTATTTATTTAGTCGCTATATATATATATATATATATATATATATATATATATATATATATATATATATATATTTATATCTATCTATCTATCTATCTATCTATCTATCTATCTATCTATCTATCAATTTCAGTCTGTCCAGATCTATCTAGCTCGGTATCTATTTATTTAGTCGCTATATATATATATATATATATATATATATATATATATATATATATATAAATATATATATATATATATATATATATATATATATATATATTATCATCATAATACCGAAATTCCCTTGTTCCAAAATGGTAACTTCAGTTCAAATTTCTAATTTAAATTGAAGTTTCAGCTTTGAAACATGGGAATTTTCAGTATTTCGATGATAATATATTTGAAGAAAAAAAAAGAAAACGGTTATATTATTCTCTACTATTGCATCGAACACTTTTAAAAAAATGCTAAGAACTTTGAATTATATATCTCATTGTTCTATCCTATTATTTTAACACACACACACATATATATATATATATATATATATATGCTTATAAATTTTTATATCTACATACATTTATTTTTTTTTTTTCATTTAAATGGTCACAGTGTTTTTTTATATATATTTTATATATATACGCGGTGTTAATTCTGCCAAGAATTTGGATTAAAATATGGAGTATGATTTAACGGAGCGCATATCTCAGTTTCCCTGCGCGCGTTGCAAACAACCAGCACACGGTCGGCATTGGTCCTTTCAATGATATTGACACATTTATATCGATCTCGGCTAGAACACGTTGTTGTAAATAAGGTACCTTGGGAATTCATGTAATATACTTACTAATTCAATGCAATAGGACTGCTGATGTATATATATATATATATATATATATATATATATATATAGATAGATAGATAGATAGATAGATAGATAGATAGAAAATGATTGAGATACATAGGTAGATATATAGATAGATAGATAGAGAATGATTGAGATAGATAGATAGATATATAGATAGTTAGATAGAGAGAGAGAATGATTGAGATATATATATAGATAGACAGAGAGAGATAATGATTGATATATATATATATATAGATAGATAGATAGATAGATAGAGAGAGAGAGAGAGAGAGAGAGAATGATTGAGATAGATAGAGAGAGAGATAATGATTGAGATAGATAGATAGATAGAGAGAGAGAATGATTGAGATAGATATATAGATAGATAGAGAGAATGATTGAGATAGATATATAGATAGATAGAGAGAGAATAGATTGAGATGATTGATATATATATAGATAGAGAGAGAGAATGATTGAGATAGATATATAGATAGATAGAGAGAGAATGATTGAGATAGATAGATAGATAGAGAGAGAGAATGATTGAGATAGATATATAGATAGAGAGAGAGAGAATGATTGAGATAGATAGATAGATAGAGAGAGAGAGTGATTGAGACATATAGATAGAGAGAGAGAGAGAGAGAGAATGATTGGGATAGATAGATAGATAGATAGATTGATAGATAGATAGATAGATAGAGAGAATGATTGAGATAGAAACAGAGAGAGATAGATAGATAGATAGATAGATAGATAGATAGATAGATAGATAGATAGATAGATAGTGAATGATTGAGATAGAAAAATAGACAGACAAAATACAGGTATATGATCTGACATGATATTATGATGTCATAATATATTTTTTAATCATTTCACCGCAGGCAATGCGATAAAGCCCCTAAAGCGCAAGGTTAACTGAGAGTGGAAGATTGAGGAAGAAATAAAGGACAATAAATGAACAGATTTCCAGTCGACAGAAATGACGATTAACGCTGCATTTGCATTTCTGAAGGTCATATTTGGCAGAAAAGCTAAAAGCTGTGAAACAGATGTGACTCCTAGCCAACACACACTATTTTTACGGCCACAATTTCCCCATCTATAAATAGACCTGGACCTGATACTGAATATTTTCCTCCATAAATTCATAAAATCGTTTAAACCACACAATTATAGATACAAACATATATATATATATATATATATATATATATATATATAAACAAAAAGAACAGTAAGATATATAATCCCGTGTTCTTATAGATATTTTTATTTTTACAAAATAGTGCTCTATGTAACTTTACAGATCATTGATATTATAAATTAATTGATTTAAAATATGTTTTTTTTCGCTACACAGTTCTAACCATGTTTGAAAAATGGAAGCTAAAAGCCCCGAATTTAATTTTGTGATTAAATTAAAGACATTAGTTCCATTTCATCCTCAAGCGAATTTTGGAGTAACTTTTAAAACTACTGGTTTTTAAATACACAGCTAAAACAAAATTCATGTTTCCAAGGTTACAGACAAATCTATTTTGCTATACAGGGGTGTCTGGGTGTTCAATATGTCAATATTTTAATGTATCAGTTAATGTATTTTTCAATGAAAATATATATATTTGTATGTGTGAGTATCAGAGATAAAAAAATGTTCATTAAATTTTCACACTAGTAACCAAACACTATAACCACAAACTGAAAAAGATACGTGTTTGTACAAGCAAAACCCACCAAAAAACTTATATGTGCTGCATATATCCGAAAAACTTTTTGCACAAAACTGAATTAGGTGATAATTTTATGTGAAATCTTCTTCTAAAGACGATTGCATATAAACGATGGCTGGTAACGTTCCCTTTGAGACAAATTTTCAGGAAAAGATATGAATCCACATCCCCTCTTTCTTTGTCTATTTAGACCAAATAGATCCATCCTCAGGAGTTCATTATCGTGAAATAAACAACTGGATAAATGCTTGTATAGAAAATAGGCAACACACAGTAATATCTGTAAAATATTATAACAACCATTTTCAAACGTAATGGCGCGCCTGTCAATTAATTGGATGTGGAAAGTTAAAATAACAGTGTCATTTCCAGTTTCTTTGTTTGAACATCGGACAAGATACCACCTGTACTTCGACATTAGTAATTTAAGCGCAATATTAAGTTGGCAGTTAGGGCTCATCATTTTACAGGTGAAATTGGTATATGTAACCGAAGGTTCTATGCTAAGAGTTTCTTCTTTTGCACTTCGCTCTTGTGAAACTTTCTCCCCGCTTTTTGCTTTCCAGTCAAACTTGATCTTCAAAAATGTAAACGTAACGTTAATCTACATGAAACCTGTTCTTTTATACTCCCCTCTCTTTAATAAGGATTTTCTCACATTTTTTCACACACTGTAGCCCCCTTGTGTTTGAGTTGCTTTATTTCCTTGCTTGTGGCGAAATGATTAAAAAATGATAATCGATGAAACACCCTAAGAAAATGAAAGATAATCAGAGAGAAAAACACGTATTTTGTTGGTGGTTTTAAGCATAAATTAACCTATATCTTTAAAGTAATTAACTAATAAGACGTTTTAAAGGTAGCCTGTTATTATGTATCTGTTATTTAACCATTTTTGGATAAATTTATTCATGGCTTAGAAATTATGATGAAATTTAAATTATTACTACATTTTTATTATGGCTGTATTTTTTTTCAAATATAGTCCTGTGTTTTTATGAGATTTTGAGATATGCAATAGGTCAATTCTATCGCAAACGCTCATTACGGTTAACTATAAATTTTAGTACAGATGGCAACAAGCTCCTTAATCAAAACTGTAATAACATTATTTACTCAAATATTATGATAATTATGTTGGCGTCGCACATTGATTTAGGCCGTGTAAATTCTGTTCTTGAGTCATTGTGTCTGCGAGACTGCTCACGACTCATAACCTTTCGTATAATCCTCACAGTTTAAATAATGCCATTTTGTGAAGTTCTACTATCATGGTATCAATTCCAATTCTACGTAAGAGAGCTTATGTATTTGTTGTGGCATGTTAGGAACCAGAAAGAAAGTTACGGAAAGAAGAAGGTAGGTTGAACAAGTGTATTGGAATAACAGAACATATATACAAAATAACATTCCTGATATCCTGTCAATCTCGATCTCCAGGTTCTTGCATTTGGAGGATTTCTCGATAATTATGGGGGTGTTTCTCTAAGATGTTACTGCAATGTCAATGAGCATTCACTTTCTGAATTTCTTGACTTTTAAGATAATATCATGTCTATTGTCTTTTATTTCCCTGTCAGTTTGAATTAGTATGTCCCAGAGGATAGTTACATGGTTGTTTTGGGTAACTGTGTCTGGTTGGTGCTCATACCATCTCTCAGTGGTTTCGATTTTGTGCTTTTTGTATATCTTTCAGTGCACATATATCACTACCTTGTAATGTGTCTGAGTATATATATATTTTTTTTCAGTTCCCGACATCCTGGGATAATATGGTCGGCAGTTTCCGCAGATCCTGCATTTTCGGTTTTTTCCATCCTTGATTATGCGACTGGCATAGGATGTTTGCGAGGCTTTGTTCCTGAATTGCAATAATTAGGCCTTATTTCTCAATTTTCAGCCCGGTGCTCCTCAGATGTGTTTTATGCTGGCCACATTTGCTTCTCTTGTTGCAATGCAAAGCCTTGTCCTTTCACGTTTTTTGTAACTTCATTTAGCCAGGTTCCTTTGCTTTATTATAAATATTATTATTATTTTTATTATTGTTATTATTATTATTATTAGTAGTAGTAGTAGTAATAGTAGCAGTAGTAGTAGAAGTAGTAATATTTCCATAGATTTCAGTTGTGTACACATTTTCCTCCGTGTCCCAACCTAAGGTCGGAAATGGCTTCTTAACATTTTCCCCTGATCCCCTTTTGTACAAAGACGAAACGAAAAACTAAATCTTGCACATTTTACAAAGATAATACTCTTTGTAATGTGTAAGCTGTACTTGGGAGTACAATGGTTAGTATTTCTAGCAGGAATCCATTCAGAATCTTTTCGAATAAATCCGAGGGCTTCATCTACAACTGGAATTATTGATGTACTTATTATTATTATTATTATTATTATTATTATTATTATTATTATTATTATTTTCTTTGATTTCTGGCGTTTACACATTTCTTTCCGGGTCCCACCCAGGGACCTAAGGTTAGAAATGGCATCATGACACTTTCCACTAACAAAAAAATTAAAAAAAATAAAAAATAAAAAAATACATAGATAAAGCCCTTCGTAAAGTGTGGGCTGTACTTGTCAGAACAATTTTTTTATCTCCTTGAGGCATGGTCTTCCAGGAATCCCTTCAATTAGTCTACTGCAATCTTTTCCAACCAGTCCTAGGGCTCCAACTACAACAGGGATTGTTGATGTTCCCATATGCCACATTTTCGAGATTTCTATTTCAAGGTCCTCAAAGATACATTGCAGTCAGCAGGGACTGCCATATCAATAAGGAGGCACCGTTTTTGTTTGTGGTCTTTAATAACAATATCTGGGCGGTTGGCTTTGATTGTTCCGTCAGTGTGTATTAGGTAGTCCCATAGAATTGTAACAGGTCCTATCTCCGTAACCGTGTCTGGGTGGTGTTCATACCAGTTTCTTTCAGTTTCCTTCCCGTAGAAGTTGCAGATTTTTCAGTGCAGATATTGGCCCACTCTGTCATGTCGGGTTTTATATTCAGTGGGTGCCAACACCGTGCAACCTGATACAAGATGATCAATCGTTTCTGGATATTTATCACAGAATCTGCATTTTGGGCCGACACAATATTTTAGTATATGTGCTTGATAATTCCTAGTTAGCAAACATTGGTCCTGCGCAGCAAGGATAAAACCTTCAATTTCAGCTTTCAACCCTGCACTACGTAGCCACTGATGGGTACGAGTTTTGTCTACTTCAGCTTGTTTGGTACGGGCAGAGTATTGGCCATGAAGCGGTTTATCTTGCCATCGCTTCTGTATCTGGTCGGTTGCATTTGTCTTTGCTGTCTTTTTAAAGAATTTTGTAGTTGCATCTCTACGCCCATTTGACACTCTGTCTTTGCTGTCTTTTTTAAGTATTTTGCAGTTTCAGCCGGTGTATTGTGCTGTATTACTATTATTATTATTATTAATATTATTATTATTATTATTATTATTTTCTTTTTGACCGTCATTTGTTTTATAAAGTACATGCCGGTTTATAACCAAATTTAGGCAAGCGATGATGTAATTTGTTGTTTCCACTTAAACAAAAGCCAGCGAGATTTGTCCATTTAAGTTGTTTTGTTAATAATAAAAAAATATTTAAATGGACCAATCACTTCGCAGAATATGTGCTGTGTTTGTTAGAAATAATTTATTTGGAATTCCTGGTGCACCAACGATTTTATTGACTGTAGAGTTACTTTCTTTTTCATCCCTAAAACCCCGACTGCAACGGAAACAGTTTTATTATTTAAGTGCAACATGTTTTCCATTTCTACTTATAGCTCTTTTTTCTTAGATTGTGCTTATTATTATTATTATTATTATTATTATTATTATTATTATTATTATGATTATTATATTCTGATTTCTGCTATGGTCACATCATATACCTTAACCTTTTCATGATCTGTTTTTCTACCTCTAATAACATCACTAGCTCTTCTAAATGTGTGGGTTATTTTTCTTATCAAGACAACTTTTGTATTTCTTTTAAGCTGGGACTTCCAGGGATTTTTTTCCCAATGTGCTGTTGTGTTCCATTCATCATTATTATTATTATTATTATTATTATTACAATCACAGTAAAAGA